TAGGTGAAAATGTAGAGAGAATATAGGTTTTAGAGAGAGAGGCTCTAGATTTAGGTTTTTTTTTTTGAAAAGTAGGGAGAGCGAGAGAGAGATGTGAAAAAGTGATATAAAATGTCACTTTTACAGACTGAAATATACACAGTCCACTCGAGCACAAAAAGTGACACTCGAGCGTCAGACACAACAAGTTGTTTCGCTCGAGCACAAGAAATGTTACTCGAGCGCAAAATGTACACTCCCAGTAGTTTTACAGACAATAGACTAATGCTAGAGAGCAAGAAATGCTGCTCGAGCTGAGCATGCTTGAGCGCAGAAAGAACCACTCGAGCGTAGAATACATTCTCCCAGTAGTTTTGCAAACCTACAAAAATACTGAGAGTTTGCAAAGCCCGCTCGAGCGGAGAAGCAAAAATCTAGGCAACAAAAGTTTGAAAACTAAACGACCAACCGGTCCCAATCACAATCACAACAACCCAATAGCCAAATTCAAAGAAATGCAAGGGAAGCAAGATATAATCAACAACACGACACAATGAAGCCTGACTCCAAAATACAACAAGGGTTGGGTCAAAACCGAAATCGCTATAGAATATTATCAATTTTTTCATTTTTAAAGTTTTTTTTTTTAAATTTTGCACATCACTGTTCCATCATCATAGTTCTTTATAGACACAAAATTTTTAGTTTTGCACAAAAAAATATAGTTTTTTTTTTCTTTTTTTGCACATAATTTTTTCATTTAATTTTTTTTTTAAATTTGAAAGTTGATATTTTAAAGTTTTAAAAATCAAAATAAATGTCAAATCGTCATGTTCCTTTATAAATAATCATAAATGATGAACAATTATTGTTTGAAGGGGATTCTAACTATTAAAAATTTAATGGGACTTGGAGGTCCAAAAAATCTTAATTAGGATTTATTGGAGTATAAGTTCATAAATTAGAACTTGTGTGTAAATGCTTCCCAAAAAAACTCTCTATTCAAACAATAATGTATGGATTGATTTGGAAATAATTATTTTAGTAACTTTTTAATTTTTTTTTAATTAAAATACGAAATAAAAAAAATTGGGAAACGGTTTTTGCTTTTTTTTTTTTAAAAAAAAAAGGTGCAAAAAATAAATAAAATGAAAAAGAATTTGTGACTTCTTTATATAACTTTCAAATTTTTTTATTTTTGGATTTTTTTTTATAATAACTTTTTAATTTTTTAATTAAAATGTATTACTACAAACAACCGTTAGTACCATTTGCTATCCAAACTCACACATTAAAAAAAAAAAAAAAACCCTCTATGTAGACAGCTATTACATAAAAGTGGTGTTACATGTACCAATTAATATACTAACTAGTGTATCAACACTAGTTATGACTTTATTATTAACACCAGTCATTATACAAATTACAAACATAAAAAACATCTTAAATTATATCATATCATTAATTCGTATACTAATTAATACACTAATTGATGCATATAACATTACCCCTGGCATAAATGCATCACAATCATTTTTGTGTCTCATATATGCCATGCCAGTCGTGTGCTCATCTATCACCTAAGATAAAAATAATTAATAAATAAACAAAATACATGAGCAATTATTTGTGGAAAAATGTTCAAATCTTTTGACTTACGGTTTTGATTAGAATTTAACTTCTCTCATAATAAAGCCATCTCAAGCTTTATTTTAGTGAATAAAATCATTTGATTATTATTAAAACTAAGAATAATGCTTTCACCTCGTTATATAAGGATTATGAAGACGAGTAATAATGTTCACATATACCATTTTGACAGTTTTCATTGTCTTCATTAACCAACTAATTTAGACATTGGAACACGCAGGTCAAGTCTCATTTTTTGGCAAGTTTTCTCGTTTTTGCAAAGAATTTATTCATCGTAATATTTTACCAATGAAGTAAAAAAAAAAACCTGAATAATTTTTAGCAATTGGGAAAGTAAAGCTATTTTGAGGATGCCTTGTGTTATCTAAATTTCAAACTAATCCTTCATTTTTTTATATATATTTTTTTATTGGCAAAAATAACTCTATCACTCCATATGAAAGAAAACAATACAAAAGTACTCCCCTTAATCATACACAAATACTCCCCCCTTGCCTTTCAACCCCATTAACTTCACAACACAAGTAAAGAAGAAAACAAAAAAATAAAATAAAAGGTAATGTTGGAAAGATACCAGTAGATGGAACACGACAATAACAAAATGAAGGAACAAAACTCAGAGGATAGAAACAGAGGCAGCACTACAATTATATCCCAAAACTGACCCACAGATTGCTCAAATTAAACATGAGTCATCTTCCACAAACTCCTTCCCAATTGTTAATCAAATCATTAAAGCTCATGAGCAGTATCACTAGTATGTGCTTTCACCAAAGTCACCATTCAATTACCTCTTTTTAAACATAATCCACCATTCAATTCTATAATTAGCTATTATTTGTATTTGTTACCATAACTTAAAAAATTTGTTAAGGTATTATTCATTAGTTATTCAATAATTTATTATTTTTTGATAGATTAGACCTCACTATCTTGACTTTCTTGAGTATTGATCATTAAAAGAAGAATGGCTAATAAAATATTCTTTTAATAAAATAAAGTTAGAATAGAGAGTGTAATGGATAGAGTATTTAAAAGGAGAGCTATATAAAATAAAATAAAAAAAAGTGATTTTCAAATTGAAATTTGGTTCAAAACTTGTTGAGCTTGATCTGAATGCTCTAACAAACTTAACAATGGGTTTAGCAGCTCCATTGTAGCTTCATTTTAGTCCATCATGGCTAAAATTTTACAGTTTGACACTCATACACACAATAACTCTTCCATTGTGAATGTTATTAATTATAAAGAGTTAGGCTATTTGTTGGGTTTTAATAAATTTTATTTATTTGTTTATTTTTATAATCATCTAGTTTTAAGGATCTAAAAAAATTGATTCAAAGTTTAAAAAAAAAATACTAAAAACAAAAATATGCAGAAAAATAAACAACTTATAAATTTGAGTCAAAGAACCTAGTAGCAATACCCATGTAAATAGATCGACTTGAAATAATTCAACACTGATTCGTGACAAACGCCCTGTTTGGTAGGGTTTATTTCCAGTTTATTTCAGTTTTTAGCTTAATTTAAGCTATTTTGAGGTGTTTGGTTCAGCTTAACAATACAACTTATAGTTTTTTGTAAGTCAAAAATCAACTTATTCTTTGAGTGGGGGAGGAAAAACTTAATTTATAAGTCAAAAATCAGTTTATGTTCACAGTTATAAAGTATAAGTTGTTAGATTATAAATTATAATCACTTTCTAACAGTTCTATCAAACAGCGCCAAAAGCACAAGGCTATGGCTTATCTCGTTTAATTGGGCTGATCTCTCATTTCATTCAAAATCATCTTGATGGGTCAACCACTCGGCCCTGAAAATATAAACCCCTTCTCACGTTTGGGCCTGCAATGACCTTCAAATAAACTTACGAAAACTACGGATCAATTTAATTGGAAAAATGTTTAAAATCTACAAAAACTTTTCACAATCTGATCCACTGTGACTTGATACATGTTAATTTTTGATTTATCACATATTCAATTGTGTAGGACCTATTTTTTTTACCACATATAAATTTAGGGTTCCGATTTGTAGGTTCATTTAATTGCCGAAAATATTTACAAAATCATACGGGTGTGTTATTTGATTGGTAGCCATATTGCAGTTTGGACTTTTGTTTTTTTTTTGGAAAAAATTTTTTTTTTTTTTTTTTTTTTTTTTTAAATTAAAAAAAAAAAAAAAAAAAAAAACCTTCCCTAATCTATTTAGTGTCTACAAATCTAGATCAATAGAAAATTTTCTCTCATACTTAGGAAACAATATGGTCATCTTTTTCTTTTAGCTACCCTTTGTTTCTATTTCTCTCTATTTTTCTTTTCCCCAAGGTTTGAGCCCCATTGCGCATAACGTACCTTGTTGTGTATTTTTCCCTTTTAAATTTTTTTAGGGCTCAAATCCCACCATTTTTGGTCCATAATTAATCCTTGTCATAAATTTTGTACATATTTTATTCACAAATGAGCTCGATATGGTGAAAGCAAATTTTTTGTTTATTTTCTTTTAATGGTATTATGAGTGATATTCAATTTTTTATGACCAACATGTATTGAAATTGTTCAAAACTACCAAAATTTGGTAATACAAAACTAAGCTTTTTTCTATCTTCAATTTGACCATCTTCTCATGGTCTAACTTGGTTATTTACATGCCATTTGACTCTCCCAATCTCACTACCTTATCCCTTACAGGTGTGTTTTGAATATATATATATATATATAAACTTATAAAACTTATTCCAATCAAATAGATAAGGATCTTATTAACAAGTGTCCCTAAGATACAAGTAAAAGATAAAATATTTGTAAAACACAATACATTTTTCACTAATTTCAATGAACTTTTATTGAAATTAGTACACTTTTTAATAGTTTTACATATTTTTAAGGAACTTTTACATACTTCTCAATATTAAATAATGCCCAAAAACACTCCTTTGTATTTGCAAATAGATAATAGATATTGAGTGTAATAACATGGCATTATATATAAGATAAATCAATAGCTTTAAATGATGTTGTATAGAGATCACTTGATGAATTAAGTAAGAGACAAAATCAATTCTATTCGACAGTAATATCAGGTAAGATGGTGCAATTTTGTATCCAAGAATTTGATTTATTTCCTTAATCAAGTGGCCTTAAACATTCATGGGTTGTTTGAGATGACCTAAATAAGTACACTTTTTGTCTTTTTACGAAAAGATGTGCAGAAAAGTAGAGAGAAATGTGATGGAAAAAAGATAAAAAGATGATTATTTTGAATATGCCAAACTTGGCCACAATTAGCTGAAAGATATGTCTTCTGGTTTTCAAAATATATTAGTAGTAATAATAATAACAGAATAACCATATAAATTTGGAGAAAAAGAATCGAAGAAACTAGAAACTCTTTGATTACACAAAGGAAGCCTTTACTACACAGTACAAACAAAAATTTAATAGGAAACTAGAAACACAAAGGACTAGGATTACTATTTTACAAAGAAAAAGGATTAAAACTAGAAAAAAAAATAATACTAATAATGAAAAGAAAGAAAATGATCATGGAACCGGATAAGACTTGTTTTTACACATGCATTTATAAGCAATAGGACATGTCTCAGCCTCTGCAAGTGAAGCACAAACAAAGCTCACCATGACCAGTCGACATGGTGAGCATGATCCACAAGCATGTGAGCAATCAGGCAACCTTGAACCTGCAATTTGGAGCGGGTCGGCTCTCCTATGCTTCATTACTGGGAATGGCCTTCTCTCCACCTTCATATTATTCGGTTTCACCTTCACCCCTTCTACTGTGCTCGGTAGCGTTGGATGACGATGGCTACCATCTGCAACCCAACATTCAAAACCTTAACCAAAGGTCGTGTAAAAAAAAAATAAAAAATCTTCAACATATATTTTATGTATTATTCATTAAAATTGCAAATTTTCAGTAGGTAGAAATAATTAAGTTAATTCACTAATTGATCGAGAAATTTGCCGGATGTACATTATTTTTCTTGTCATTTGTTATTCTTGTCAATTAATACACCAACTTTTCCACTGAATTGGCACAGAAAAATTGACGACATTTTGTGTGCCAATTTGGTGCACATAATTCTCTTTCTTACAATAGTAATACACACATGTGAGAGAGAGAGAGAGAGAGAGAGAAAGAGAGTCATACGCAAGTGTTGCCGAGCAATGTGCCTTGCAGGCATGACTGCCGGAACAAAAAGAAGAGTGAGAAGAACAACAATGCAGACAAAACCACCCTTCATGGCACCTTTTCTTTTCTGTTTTCTTTTTTTTTTCCTTCTGAGATGAGTTTATACTATGTTAGAGAAAATGAGAAAGAAACTTTGGTGAAAAAAATGAGAGTGGAGGACATAAATATTTAAAGGGTTGGGAGGGCAACAAAAGGCGGTAATGAATATTAATCAAGTCACAGGCAACAGTGCGTAGTAGAAAAAGGTCACACAAAAGAGAGGGTAGTGAAGAAGATGGGTCACAGGTCCTTAGCCTCCAACCCACCTGTGACCTGTGAGCCTCATGGAATCAGCCATGGAAGGGTGATGATGAAGGTTAAGAATTTACTGATTTAGAATTTAGAATGCTTCTTTTACGTGAGTTTCTGACTTCAATGACAAAGCATATATGTATATAGTCATAAATGTTAATGTGTATAGTAATAATTGTACATATTCTAAGTCCAAGAGATTCATATAAAGCTAATGTACAAGGTAATAAATAATATGCTGAGTGCCTAATGTGACTGCCATTAATGTGCACCTCATGAAGGGCCTTGAAGTATTTAATTGAACTTCTTTGCTACTTATTTGTTTGTTTTCATGAAAAAATTGTGCACAACCACCCTTTTTGTCTCACCACATTATATGAAAAGTTTTGTATCACCCATTAAAGTACTTTTTCTTTTCTTTTCTTTTTTTGATTTCTTTACATTCTTGAAATTCTTACATACAACTCACATTTTTACTTTTTACTAATTATGGGACATTAAATCTCAACCACACAATACACCACTTTAGGAAACTTTAGGAAAAAAACACTCTAGAGGATCCTTGGTGAATATTAATGATCCATGTATGTCATGAATATTTACATTTGTGAAATATTAGATTATATTCATAATAATCATGTGTTATTTAATATTTGTATTAACTAACTGAATATAACACTAAAATTTTAAATATTTCACTAGGTCTCGTTTGGCAATCGAACTTTTTAGTCAAAAAGTCAAAAAGTTACTAAATTAGCCAAAAAGTCAACAACCCATACCAAAAAGTCAAAGATTTTCTTCTCTCTAAATTTTGCACATCTTTTCGTAATAGGCCAAAAAGTCATCTCAAACATACTAGTTTTTTTTAACTCATATTTTAGTCAAATAGTCAAAAAGTTACTAAATTAGCCGATTCCCAAAGGAGGCCTAAAATTCTAACAAAACACAATAATTAACCTTTTGCCAAACAATAATTATAAATTTATTATAATTTATTGTAAGTCACTCTAGGTGTAAAATAAATAAAAAGGTATAAAATAAATTTATTTTGAATAAGTATATACATTTTTAACCGTGCATAGCACGTATTTGCTAGGATGTAAAAATATTAATATGAAAAATTCGTGCACATCTTGGAGTACAAACAGAAAGTCTAGAGACCCGGATGACCCAGATTTTGGGTCACATATTTGTGTCAAGAATATAGTGGGGTGGAGATTGAAAGTGTGTTGTGGGTAGAATAAATTTGGATAAAATTTTTACGTAATTTTTTTTATAAAATTTCTAAATTTGTAGTATTACTAAAATTTCAACATAGGATTTCGCATTCGATAGATGGGCTAGGCCTATGTACCATAACCTTACTATATGGGCTTCCAATTTTAAATGGGGATAGGTCTTATATACAAAATTTGAAACCTGTTTAATTCCAAAACAAAACAGTTGTACCAACTAATATTATATATTTTTAATTGTTAAAAAAAAAAAATTAATTTAAAAACGCTGTTGCATCCCATTATCACCGGACTTCCATTAGACGGTCACCGAAAACTTGCCGGAATGTTCAACATCACTGGAAAGTTGCCGGAGTTTCACCGAAAATTCACTGGAGTGTTCTGAATGCCACCAAAAGTCGCAAAAATGTCTAGAATGTTCGTTGGACGGTGAGGATATTATCGAAAACTCATTAGAACGTCCATAATATTGTCCCAAAATAATAATTAATTGAGAAATTAGAGCGAAAAAATATAGCAAAATGTGTTTAAATATTAATAAACTGAAAGAAGAAAAAAACCGTAAGAACAACAAACAACAACAATGGGGAAAAAAAATATGTTATTTTCAATCTTTGTAGGGTTTTCGGCGACTAATTCCATTTTAGTCGCCATTTCATGCACTTTCAGCGACGAATTTTTTTTTTTTAGTCGCCATTTGTGTTTTTTGTTGTAGTGTTCGCTGGAGTGTTCTGAATGCCACCAAAAGTCGCAAAAATGTCTAGAATGTTCGTTGGACGGCGAGAATATTATCGAAAACTCATTAGAACATCTATAATATTGTCCCAAAACAATAATTAATTGAGAAATTAGAGCGAAAAAATATAGTAAAATGTGTTTAAATATTGATAAACTGAAAGAAGAAAAAAACCGTAAGAACAACAAACAACAACAATGGGGAAAAAAAATATGTTATTTTCAATCTTTGTAGGGTTTAAGGAAATAATCTCCAATGATCAAACTAAAAAGTAAGCTTTGAAAGTGTAAAATGTTACAGTTTCAAAGTATGATTCTATTAAGCATTTATCCTTATTAATCAATTTGAAAAACATGTTATATGAAACTGAAAAATATTACAGTTCTAAAGAATGATTCATTTAAAAAAAAAAAAAAAACTAAAACTTTAAAATTTTACAGTTTTCACCATCTGTAATTAAAACTCGAAAACAACTAGTTCAGACCTTGAAAGTTTTCTCCATTATAATAGGTAAATAGAAGTGTAGTATAGAAAAGGTTTAAAAAAAAAAATGAGAGATCGAAAGAAAGAGACAGATATAAAGAAAAGCTTGTATTACAGCAACTATTTTTTTTATTTAAATTTAATCGGATCTAATTAATGTAGATCTGCTGAGGTATGATATAAATCTGAGTAGATTTACATCAGACTTGAGTAGATCTACTCATCTTCGTTGGAAACTTATCTCATTCGCTATTTGTGAGCGCAAAGCATGGAGTCGATGCTCGGTGGTTGACAGTGCAGCCAAATTAATGGTGGTTGCCGGTGACTGTAGATTAGAAAGAGAAAAAAAAGAAAGAAAATGTATCGTTGTCGCCAGATATCAAACAAAGAGAGATAAAGAAAAGGAGCAGAGAAATAGGAAAAGATAATGGGCGTAGGACTTTTGAGTCTATCTAAAAAGTTTTAGAATTAAATAGAATACACACTAAGGACTTGTGAGTAATTTGCCCGTTTTGGATTTAGGTTTTGCCTATTTAGCATTGGTTTTTGTATTGGAGTAGGTTGAGACCAAAATAGTCACAAAAAGATAAAATAGACTTTTTAATCACAGGCTAAAAAATGTCACATTAAAACCATAATTATTTCATTTTTTCTACTACAAAAGTTTAAAAAAACCCAAAAAAACTCATCCTAGATGAAATTTCTTTACACTAAATTAAAAAAATCAAAAAACTAATCCACATCCCAAATGAAACCTTAGCCCTCGTTTGACAAGTGACTTTTTTAGTCAAAAATTCAAAAATTTACTAAAAAAATCAAAAAACCAACAACTTATACTAAAAAGTTAAAGATTTTATTTTTTCTCTACTTTTTACACATCTTTTTATAAAAAATTTAAAAAATTATTCTAAATATACTAATTTTTTTATATCATATTTTTATTAAAAAACTAAAAATTATTAAAAAAATCTATTCTCAAACCAAGCCTAAAGTATCAGGCCTAAATTGAACTGGCTTTGGGGGTACTTTTCAACCATAGTGGGCCAACAGCTTTAGTTGTAAGAACAAAGTTGTAAAGTACTAATTCTTCGTACGTTTTTTCTCTTCCACAAACATGGTTGTGTGTGTTTGCACAATTAAGACAACCCGATACTTCTCATTATGATACGTGTTCTTTTTTTTCATCTTTTTATTTTTTTTTTAATTTTTTTTATGGCATGAATTTTCAGTTTTTTATTTCAAATAAAAAAGCGAACACAAGACTCGAAACTTTAATTTTGAATTTAAAAAAGAAAACTCTTACTATTTAAGAAATACACATATTGTGATATTATTTAATTTTTGGATAAACTTCACTTTACTCACCTCTAGTTTGGCCCATATACAGTTTACATCTTAACTTTTAGAAATAATCATGTGATATTGTTTCATTGTTTTTTTTTATCATTTATTTGGATTGCATAGGTTTCACTTATGCCAACCACTAGTATCTATTATGGATGGATCGAGAGTTGTAGAGACACCATTAGTAATCTTGGTGTCCAAATCTAGCCTTCTCCCTTCAAAAAGAGTAACTAGCACATCTCTCTCCATCTCTTTTTGTTTTTATTGTTTTTATTTTTAATTTATCTCATAAGATATGAAATTTTCTCAATCACAATGTTTATATGTTGCGAAAATCTTTTATAATGTTCTTTTGCTTCTCTTTGAACACTTAACAATTGAACCTTTTGCATTGGAGAAGTTTATTTATTGTGAAGTCCATCTAAGACTCTGATTGTTGCTTGGCTAAACTAAATTATTTTTAGGCATTAATTCAAACAAATTGACCTTAACCCGAAGTTGGAGAATTGAATCAAGGTTAGGCTTCAGTTGGGTAGTTGAGGTTTTATATTTGGGTTTTGAGCAGATTTGGATATGCTCTATTGCAATCCAATTTGATATTTGGACAAGTTCTTTGTCCAATCAAGATGTCCAAGACAGTTTGATTTCAACCCAAAAAAGCACTCATTTAATTTAGACAGTTTATTTAAATAAAAAAGAAAGATGTATTCAAAATTTACCTGACATTTAGTAGGGGTTTAAGATTTGTAAAGAACTGACTCCAAATATCAAAATGTGGCTTTATCTCGCTAGGTTTTGATAAAAATTTTAAACTTTAGCAATAAATTTTTTTAAAAAAATTTCTTAATAAGTCTTAAATGACAAGTAACTTAATTGGTAAGACACCTTTGTCCACATTTATCACATTGGCTCAACAATTTATTGTCTATACTAAGGAGTATGAAATGACAAACAGCCTGCTACCTGTTCTAGATACAGAGAAAGACAAACAGCATTTTTTGAAAGCATTTGTTTCTTGGAAAATATGTTTATCATTTGGTCAATAATGGGAGCTTGCCAACCAATGTTATTTTTGTTCCTTAATGCTCAAGTATGATTTGCTTAGCCTGATTGGCGATATTGTACTACTTGTCAACCACCACAAAGGCCCACCAAAGGCGGCATCTACTATGAAAGACAAATACTTGACAAGATAATCCCAACCGTCAATTGCATTCAATTTTTCTATTTGGGTGCCCCATTTATGGATCTACCACTATGATAAAAAATAATAAAATAAAATAAAATAAATGATATATGCTAGCTAGGATATGAATTTTATTAGTTTTTGTCCTATCTAGATTTATATGATAAACATAATGCGTATATAGTATTGATCAAATTTAAAAAACAAATAAAATCATTGGTTAGATTTGTTTAATTCTACACGTATGTAAAAGATGATAAAATATAATCGTTGATAGTAACCAAATAAATCTATGTGCACATGTACATATATATTTTTTGAGTTAGTTATGTTTTTTATTCATATAATTTTATTTTAATTTCTATAGTTTTAAATTAAATAATTTAATCTCTACATTTTACGTGTAATTTCAATTAGTTCTTCCGTCCAAATTAGTGGCTAAGATTAACAATTTTGGAATACAAACAAAATTAACAGAAAGACGAACGAGCAAATTGAAATTGGACTTAAAATATAGAGACCAAAGTATTTAAATTGAAATAATAAAAATTAAAATCAAATTTGAGTAAAACTATCCATTTGGATCTTGAGGTGAAAAAAGAAAAAAAAATTATTGTACTTTATCACGTAGGTGAGAAAAGAAATAAAATGATTATGATTTTTTACCATGGTGTTTAGATGAATAAAAGAGAAAAAAATGTGATTTTTCACCTATCTTATTTGCATAGAGTAAATAGGAAAAAAGAAAAGAAAAGAAAAAAAAAAAAGTATCTTTTCATTTTACCAAAATAACTTTTTATATTTTGTGGCTTCTTCCACTATAGGATAATTTTTGTATTTTAGAAAAATGTCATTAAATCTATTTATTTTCTCACAAAATTTCATCACTTTTGGTAGGAACAAAACACAATTTTGGTGAGAGTTATTTTCTCACAATCTTTAATCATTTCTCACATGCTTAACTATCCACATAAGTGAAAAAAGTTTTATATTCTCAATATTTTTTTCTTATCCCACCAAGTCTCTCTATCCAAATGGAGTGTAAGGATGAAAAATATATAATTAGCCTCTCTATTTTTTTTTTATTTTTTATTTTTTAATAGAACAACATAGACATGACCATTTGTCTCATATGCGTAGGGGTGTAATTTTGTCTGGCCTGACCCAATAAAAATCCGGCTAGGCCAGGCACTTGGCAAAAGATTAGGCCTGGCCCAAGCTCATGCCCAAGGGGTAATTGGGCATCGCGCAGGCCGGACTCGACAATTTCTTTTCATTTTTTATTGGGCCTGGCCCAAGCTCATGCCCAAGGGGTAATTGGGCATCGCGCAGCCGGACTCGACAATTTCTTTTCATTTTTTATTAAAATTCGGGCTGAGCTCAGGCGAGTTTCGGATTGGGAGGCCATTTTTACACTATACATTTGTTATAGTGTGTTATAATCTGCCCCTTCTCACACTGGATTCTAGCTCTCGGTTGCTGAGTTATTGACTTTTTTTGGGGTCTTTAAACACACTACAATCTAAACTTCCGCCCGCCATGGAAGGAAAATCTGTATCAACAGTCCAACGTTCTTTAAATATAATTCAAATGTACAAAATATATAGCCTACTCTTCCCATTTAAATCTGTATCTTTGCATTGTATTATATGTGTATATAAAATGTATCTGTAATCTCTGTACAAGACTGCAAGAGTACGAGAAATTCATAATCTTCAACACCCCAAAATCTCTCTAAAGTCCATTGAGAGAGCCATGAACACCCTGGTAAAGAGCGCCACCTTGGGTTTAAGCCGAAGATTAGACGGCTACGAGCCATTGGATCGAAGGGGAGAAGCCACCGGAGATGACAATCGAAGTGGCAGCTGGAGGACATTGAAGATTGAACCGCAGCAGCGTAACACGATGACCACTTTTAGTTTCAAAAGGGAAAGGGCCATGAAAAGGCAGATTTTTCTCAGAACCTACAAGTTGGGATCTATCAACTCTCCAAGAGGAAAATCAACGTGTCGTCGGGAGTTGAAGAAGGTCGCTGTTAAAGTAAAATCAGTTGTAGTGTCTGCAGCAGTGTCGTTCGTGCGATTTAATTCGTTCGCATCTTGCAACTGTCGATCAGCAATCTGTGCTTCTTCGCCAACCAGAGTTCGGAAGTGATTTTAACAAATTTTCACCTCCAACTTTTGTCCGAATTTTATTTTAATTTCTTACCTTCTAATTGTGTCCATTGAGTCCTCAGACGTGTTGCAATGTATTCTTCCCATCGACCCAAAGTGCTGCTAGCTAAATATAAGGTGAGAAATTTAAATGAAATTTCAATAAAGTTAAATGCTCAAAATTTTGCTTTCCCTGTTCAAAATTTAAATGGTGGATCATGGAATACATAAATTGTGAAAGAGTGAGATGTATATATTTTTCTTCCTTTCTTGAAGACACTGTCAATAATATTTGTTGGGTCGGTGATTCTGATAAGTACTGTTCATTCAAACACTGGATCCAATGGAGAGTTTGAGGGGCTCCCCCAATGGGGAGGGGGTCCAGGGGTTTAGCCCCGGCTGAAATATTTTAGATACTTTTATAATTCTTATGTTACTTCTGTGTAACCCTAATTTTATAGTTATAAATAGATGAGGGGAGACTCTTTTAGGTTAAGTGAGTTATATTTTTCTGATCATAGTAAAAACTGCAGTAGCTGTGGACGTAACCCTATTCTGGGGTGAACCACTTAAATCCTGTGTTCTTATGTGTGTGATTTGTTTAATTTGTTTTTTGATCTTTATTTGTTATTTCGTATCTCACCGATCTTAGTTAAGAAGGGTTAATTCCTAACAATATTTTGCAAATGACTGCATCTCAAAATGTTAAATCATCATGTATAAAATCTCTGTTTGTATAATATTTTTTTAATAAAAGGGCTAGGACATTTTAATTGGCTTGGACAAAAATAGATTACGTGCTTGTGGTAGGTTGATGATTCAAACATTGGACAGGTATTGAAATTAAGCATCAATTGTTAATATATGGAATCAAAATATATAATTAAATAAGTCTTAACCATGGGCAGAGCTACTTTAATTCTATAGTGTCAGTTCACACCACTGAATTACCCAAATTATATAATCAATTTATCTCACATTGCATCTATAAACTACTCAAGTTCAGTTAATATGATTTAGAGGTTATTTCATTCACGATCAATTAATTTTGGTTTGCATTGCAATCCTTTGTTTGCTCGATTATTCAGATTATCAAAAAAGATGTGCAGCAATTTTAAAAATAAAAACTCATCATACACAACTGTAAAATGTATATATTTGTTTATTTTATTGAAGTATTAATCGCTTAATATTTTGTTTTTACTTTTAATTTGATTAGTTTAAATTATTTGTGTCAATTTAATTGAAAATATGTATAATTTACATGGTATTAAATAAATGTTAATGTTAATAGGTTATGTAAAATTAAAAATACCACACAATAATGATGGCTCGTAAGCCATAATAGAGACTGATTCAACAATTTTTGAGTTTTGTTATTGAGTGTTCTTCAGGCATATTAAGAGGGCATAAAAGGATTGAACATTTTTTTGATGTACACACTTGCATAAAGAATGTGCAATATTTAGCTTCTTTAACATATGTGTTTTAAAGAGACATGTTAATTAACAAAATTCATAAATTTCAAGGAAGAGAACAGTTTTTGTGACTTAAAACAAAAATTTATTAGTACTTTCAGAATATCAAGTGACATTATCTATGTGATTATTCAAGTAAATGAGAAATCACAACTCACACTAATTAAGTCATTTTTTATTTCTCAATTACCTATTGATTTGAAGCACTACATATGTAATCCAACATGAGGGGTTATTCGGTGGTCTTGAAGCAATGTTTCATATTACTTATCACTTAACACTTGTCAAATTGTCTCCTAAAAATCTAACAAAAATTAATGAGTCTTACTGTTTTAACTAATAAATATTAAGTTATAAATATTAAGTTGGAGCACCACATAGACTCGCCTCATGACCACAAAATAATTTCCCTCCAACATGGTGGTTGAAGAATACTGATTTTTTATTTTTTTATTTTTGAGAGGGAGAGCACTTGCCATGTCTGCAAAACAAATAGGAGAGGAGGTGCTTGAGAAAAATTAAATGAATTCATAAACCCGGCTATATAGCCCCAAGCAAGCCACCTAAACAAGTGTTGTTTAACCACACATATGTAACAATGTCCTTAACCAATGGATCCAATCTCCAAATTAATCTCTCTCTCTCTCTCTCTCTCTCTCTCTCCATAGACATCATCTGGTTCAGATTTCGGCGGAAGATCGAGGAAAGAAGAAAGAAAGAGAGCCTCTCTTTCTTCTTCCTCCTCTTTCTTCTGGTTCTCCTTCTTTGATGGAACATCCACTAAACCCTGCACTTTATTCCAATCACCACCATTTCTCCAAAGAATGACTTCTCCTTCTTCTGTTGCACCTCCACCTGCATATGTCATGCTGTCAGAGGACAACAACAACAGCGACCACCATGGAAGCAACCTCCGTCCTCCTCCCTATCGCCGTAACGTCCCCCGCTACCACTCCGCTCACCACCCCAAGAAAAGAACCAACTGCTGCCTAAAATGCATTTGCTGCTGCTGCTGCTTCATAATCCTCTTCCTCTTAATATTAGTCAGCCTCGTCTTCTATTTCTACACCTTTTACAAGCCCCAAATGCCTTCTTACCAAGTCCAGGGCCTCACCGTCCAAGCTTTCAGTCTCCAGCCCGATTTCAGCCTTGTCTCCGAGTTCCTTGTCACTGTTAAAGCCGATAACCCTAACGATCACATTGGTTTCATCTATGGTAAGGATAATTCAGTGGCCGTGGCGTACGAGGACTCGACGCTTTCTTCTGGGAAACTGCCTTCCTTTCACCAGGGTCATAATAACGCAACCATGATGAATGTTTTGTTGAAAGGGAAGAGTGAGTTCGGGTCAGGACTTCAGGAGGCTCTGATGCAGAACAGGAATAGCGGGAAGATTCCGCTGCTGGTGCTGGTGAAAGTGCCGGTGAGCCTCATCCTGGCCGAGATTCCCATGAGGCATTTCGTGGTTTTCGTTAATTGTTCCCTGGTTGTGGATAACTTGTCCCCAAACAAGAAAATTAAGATCTTATCGAGTAAATATAACGTGGCATTTTCAATCTGACTTCTCCAACAATTTCTCAATCTCATGCTTGATGATGATGATGATCGTTATCATCTTCTCTTCTTCTTCTTCTTCTTTTGTATATTCTGAGATAACAAATCATCGGAGTTTCTCTTAGACCTCTTGTTCGTGTAATATTTCAGTTGCTTTTGTTTACCAAGGATTAATATATGTTATAAAGAAAGATGCATATAAATATGGAGGTTTAGCTTGTGTATAGTATATAGGTTGATTTTGGATTTGGCAATTGAGTGGAAGGAATGTAATTGCATGCAAACATTCATAATGATCAATGTTAGACCTATGTTCTGTTTTGATAAATTAAAGAAAAAATCTAAGTGCACCAAATTCAATTACAGAATTAGATACAATCCTTTCGCCCACCTCGTATGAAAGAGTTTTATTTAATTTTGTGATTGAATTTGGTAAACAATATTATGGGGATTCATGGTTGATTTGCACAATCCAGAAATGGTTATTCTACATCAGTTTGTCTAAAGAAGAAAACATATAACAAAAGGACATGTTGTGATTCTATTTAGGTTAGCCCAATTTGATTGATAATTAAATCAAGAACTGGTTGCCAACAATGTTGTTTTTAGAACTATTTGTCCAAGATTAAAAAACTGTAGTAAAAATTTGTAGTTTCTTCTCTACCGAATGAAACAGCTTATAGAACCATGAATTTACAAACTACCACACTGTTCCAGCTAATATAATATTTTGGTACATATATATATTTAAAATATTGAGGAACAGTATTTAACAATCCCAAGATATTTGCACTGTATATCAGAATCTTTTGGGTGCACAAGAAAGACGTGCACCCCGCATAAAATAGGACTTACAACCCTATAAAATTGAGATTATTTTATCATTGTCAAACATGATTTTAGATTTCGCCAAAATCATTTGGTGAGTTAGAAAGGGTGATCAGAAGGGGCAAGGTGGCAGAGGTAGTGGGAGGGAATGAAAACTTATTTTGAAAAAAAAAAAATTAATTTACAAACAAAATTTTCATATAAGAACTCATCGAGAATGATATAACAGTGGTGTTTTTTAAATTATGACTAAAAAAAGTGAATGTTTTAATTTGAAATTAAAGGTGACCGTGTTAATCTATCTGTATATATATATTGTTGTGCATATCATTACTCTCTTTGAAAATAAAAAATAAAAAGTGAAACGACTACTTTTTGTTTCCTCAAATTTTGAAGTTGTTTTTGTTGGAAACAAAAGCAAATCCAATTTTGTTTCTAGGTTTTTGGAAATATCTGAAAACGAAAAGCAAAAATGTTACCCAATCAAAGACCCTGCCATCAATGACATGAAGAAAATTGTAAACAAAGTGCTCAGATGAGATTTGGATTAACAAGGCATGCCCATCAATTCCTACATTGAAGGAGAGGGATCGATTCAATGAGCAAGCAGAGCAAAATAAATGTGCCTAATTTAGGTACATATATTGGTGCAACCGTGACACTAATGCTGTGTTTGGTTGGGAGATTTGGGGAGGGATTTGGAAAGGGAAATGAAAAAGGTGTGTGAAACTATGTAAAATATAGGCATGATTTATTCACATTTTATCTACCTTTTCCATTTCCCTTTTCAAATCCCTCTCTAAATCCCCCAACCAAACACAGCATAAGTGACATTGCAGAGCAAGAGAAAAATAAAAGAGCATTGCCACATGATCCATTCGATGGAAGTCGAGATCTAACCCACCCATCAGATTCCTCCACATACCATTATACTCAATGTTTATTCCTAATTTAGATCGAAGCGACAACCTGTCAGTTAATTAATTCCTACATTGAAGGAGAGGGAAAGATTGACAGTTATAGGCTGATCCACTCACCGAAAACAAGCTTGCCTTTGTTGGCCATTTGGAGGAGGAATTTCTGTTGTCTTGCATCTTTGCCTGCAAACTTGTAACTTCCAGCAAATTTTGGTTTTGTCACTTCAATTCATTCTGGTTTTGTCTCTTCAATTCCTTACCCTCACATTCCCATTCATTACTTCCTGTCTTACAAAATCTAAAAAGCAAAAAGCAAAAAAAAATTAGAGACCTTGATAATTTATTCCAAAAGTTGGGTTATTTATTCTTTTAGGTTCAATATTAAGTATCAATACCAAAAAAAGAAAAAAGAAAAAAGAAAAAAGAAAGGATTTCCCAGGCATGATATCTGGTTAGAAAATTTGAATATCAGCTTCAACTGAAAGAAAGTTCAACAAAAGGAAGCATCAGAAATTAGCCATGCCATCTGGATTGCGGCGTGCAAAACTATCATCGTCCCAACCGAATTTGATCAAATTTCAGGTAAGACAAATAGTCGATAGATTTCTAGCTTGTCATATTGCACCTAAATAAATAAAAGAATACCTGGAATTTTCTATTTTAGAAAGTTTGAATCAAAACAAGTTTATGTGGTTGGAAGGCTTCCTTTCTTGATAAATCAAATGGAAGAGAAAAACTGTGTGAACAGTAAATTGTTTTCTAGTGTAATGAAGAACAGTGATGAGAATAATTTTCAAGTCTAGTTTTTTCAAGATTTAGTCTAAACTAATTAAACAAAAAATTTTGTTTCTATTCAGTTCCATCCTATCATTGTCTCAGCACCATTGAATTAATCTAATTGATCTTATCTATGTTATTTGGATATGATCGGCAATATTAAATATGCATTCCCACAACAGAAAACCTCCAAATTAACTTTCATAAAGCCACGTTTATAGCCATAAAAGGTTAAGTCCTCTTTTAGTTAAAAAAGCTAACGACAACTACTTATGATCTTTTAAACATACCATTAAATTCACATAAAAATAAATCATTCTTATAAATTTTACAATCAAAGGAAGGCACTGACAGGCACTGTAGTTCTCAGAATCCTTGATTTCAAAAAAGAAAAAAAAAATGACACATTGTAATAAATAAGAAACATAGAAAATAGCTTATACATGATACAATTATCCATTTCTTATTAGTTTTGTAGCAAAATTGATATCCATGATATGAAAACTAGTACTTCCACAGGCAAAAAAAAGTTCAAATGTATTCAGGATGGGAGTGCAAGCGGACAACATTATCAAAGGCGGTTCAAATGGATGGTTGGAAAAATATATGATCATGATGGAGCTTAGAAAAAAGATAGTAACCTTTAGAGATATCATTGATCTTCCCCCTTGTAACGATTCCGACCCCATCCATGAGGTAATTCATTTATTATTTTTTGTAGTAGTACAACAAAGTCCCGTTTGTCTAAAATTGCATTCCACTTCATGTATTCTGCTTTTGCATCTTGTGGCAGTTGGTGGTGGGAACTACAGTGGATCTCCACAAGTTGTACCCCAATGTTGTACCCTGCATACCAATTAGGGAAAAGACTGAAATATATGAGGTTTGTTCGAGATCAATTATTATTCTGGTTCTAAATGCATATGAGTTGGTAAATTGACCAAATGACATGCTCAATTAGGGACTGGCCCACCTTTATGATGCTTTAAAATCTATTAGAGATTCGTGGGCCAAGAGCCACAAATGGGTAGCTAATTTCGGGCACAATGCAGATGTAAGCATGGAGGATATCAGTTTGGAGCAACTCAGTGAGCTCTCTCTCTCTCTCTCTCTCTCTCTCTCTTACAAAGAAAATGTTGTATTAAAACTGAAATTTGGAAACAAAAAAATTTGTGGCATTTAAGGTGGAATACTGCTGACAAAGCTCATTTACATGATTAAACTGGCAAGAGAAATGTTTGATGTAATGGATGAAGATGAGAAGAACGAGGGAAGGATACATGACTCAACTTTTGGGGATATCTTAACAGAGTCTTATTCAGATATCAAAAACACATGTCCTTCTCCAATATCTTTAACTTCAGCACCTCCTCTTGAGCTGATAAAGCTCAGTGAATATGCCAATGTTTACTATTCCCAACCACTTCTTTTGCCTCTCAGACTTCAGGCAATGGAAAAGTGCCTCACATTCCACAAGTTCCCTCAAGGACCCAATCCCACAAATAGGAAGAGAAGGGAAGTTGATGAACAAAATATAGAAATTCATAAAGAAAAGAGTATTAAAGAATCACCAGCTACAGTAACCAGTGAAGGACTAAAGGACTATGAACCTACAAAAGATATGCCAAGGATTGCAAATTCTAATTCAAATCAATTACTAGAAACAACAAAGCCAATTGTAGCAGAAGCACCACCACTACCACCATTGCCGCCACTGCCTCCACCACCTACTGCAGTAGCTGCACCATCACCATCATGCCACTTGGCCTTGAATGCAATAGGACCCCCACCTCCACCACCCATTTTGCAGTCAAAGGGTTCAGTGCCAGTGCCAACCCCACCTATACCATTGGCAAAAGGAGTTGCTCCACCACCTCCACCACCCATTTTGTATTCTAAGGGATCAGTGCTCGTGCCACCCCCACCTATTCCTTTGGCAAAGGGAGCTGCTCCACCACCTCCTCCACCACTTGGAGGAGCAAAGTCTCTACGCCCAAAGAAAGCAAATACGAAATTGAAGAGATCAACCCAAATGGGAAACTTGTATCGAGTTCTCAAGGGAAAAGTGGAAGGATCTAATTTGAATGGTAGAAACTCTCAAGGGAGGAGGACTAAGGTTGGGGCATCTGCTTGTGGAAAGCAAGGAATGGCTGATGCTCTAGCAGAGATGACAAAAAGGTACACACACAAACATCCCTTGGCTATATAGCACTATATGTTCCATTAATAATGTCTTTGTGACTTGACGAAAACAGAGAGATTATGTTTGTTACCTATCATTGGATACTTTCTTTCTTTGGTGTATTAGATCAGCATATTTCCAACAAATTGAAGAAGATGTTGAAAAGCACGCAAAATCAATCATGGAGATAAAAGGTGCTATTAGTTCCTTCCAAACAAAGGACATGGCTGAGCTTCTGAAATTTCACAAATATGTGGAACAACATCTAGACAAATTGACTGATGAAACCCAGGTGAAGTTTTTCCTTAAGATCATCAATGTGTTTCTGTTACTTTCTAAGAATTACGAACCCTACTAAACTCTTCAGACACTTGCCAACACCTATTAACACATGTTGAAACATATCCAATTCTTTTTTAAAATGTTCTAGTCTCACACATGCTTTAAACACTCGAAATTACTTAGATACACACAAGACAAATAACAAGTTTAAATAAAGAAAACTTCAAATACAAACATAAAATTTATACCTACCTATTCTACTATTTTTAGACCTCAAAAGTTATTATATTTGAATTAAATATGTATACATATGATACAAAAATTGCTGATCTTTATAAATGTCATACAAAATTATATAGTTTCTGCATGTCCCTATGTGCCTTTTCCTACGTTTTTTTGAAAATTTTCATATTTGTGTGTCTGTGTAATATCACTTGTTTGTATACGTGCTTCTTACGTTGCAGTTCAATTTTTGGCTATTTGAACCAACTACCTTTAACTCGTTTAAATGCAGGTGTTGGCAAGGTTCGAAGGGTTTCCTTCAAAAAAGTTGGAATCAGTGAGGACCGCAACAGCTCTTTACAAAAGATTGGAAACAATAATTACTAACTTGGAGAACTGGAAGGTAGATCCTCCTCTAAGCAAGCTCCTTGACAAGGTTGAGTGTTATTTCAACAAGGTAAGACTTTTAAAGTTAGAGAAACATCAATCTTATCATTTTCGTAGCATGAATGGAAATTCGTTATTGACTGAAAAGAACTATTGAAAACAGATCAAAGGAGAAATAGATGCGCTGGAACGAACTAAAGATGAAGAAGCTAAGCGGTTTCAGAGTCATAATATCCATTTTGACTTTCATATCTTGGTTAGAATTAAGGAATGCATGGTGGATGTTTCTTCAAGCTGCATGGAGTTAGCTCTTAGGGTAACAATGCTTATTTGCTTACCTCTTTCATCATTCATTTTGAACAATTGTGAAGTTCAAGTTTAACATTATGACATTTACTCAAGGAACGAAGAGAGGCACAGGTAGCAGCTAATACAGAATTGGGTCCAAAAACTGAAGTCAAAAGGCGGGCACACATAAAAATGCTTTGGAAGGCTTTTCAGCTTGCATTTCGGGTTTATAGCTTTGCAGGTGGACAAGATGATCGTGCTGACCGGTTAACCAGAGAGTTGGCTCAAGAAATAGAAACTGCTCCAGTGCCAGAGTAAGAGTAATCTTAACAAATGCTACCACCAGACCATACCTCCAAGTGATGCTATAAATTTACGAGATTAGAACCTTTGGATTAGGTTCGAGAAGCAATTGTACCACATGTACCAATTTTGTATGAGTTCACAACTCATTAAAATGTAGTGCGTGGCCTAGAAATACTATCTCTGAAGTAAATATAGTAAGCATAGAGTTGTTATCGCTTCATGAATTGCAAGTGTAGGAAGAATTGTATTGCAAATACCACTTGTGCATGTGTTACAACTCATTAAATGTTATGTGCCATTGAGATTTGAAGTGTGCGGTACTAATAATAAGAATGGACTCCTTGTGGCGTAGATGATCATAAATGCAAGCTATTACTGATATAATCTTAGCTTTAATTCTATTGGTCTAATATCATATATACTGAGTTCATTGTTCTGAAGAATGGTCATTGACTGAGAATTAAAACAGAGAAATATATGCACACAAAAAAAAGGACGGAGGGTTTGGTCAAAACCCCCTCATTTTAATGCATTAAAGACAAGTATACAAAGTTTTCTTTGAAAAATCTAACAAATATCACTATTATGAAAATATTAAACTTTAAAATAATATAATTTGGATTTAAATGTCGGTTTTTAATAAAATTAATATTTTTAGAGTTCTCTCATCAATTTTTATCAAATAAGATCCATGTTGACTATGAAATTCTTTTTAAAAAAAATTTATTACTGTTGAAATTGATATAAACAGTAACAGCAACATGTTACTCTGTTTGATTGTAACATGTTATTCTGACAATATTGTTCAAGAAAAAAATATATATAAATAATTTACTTTGTCCTTACTCAATTATGTGTTGGTTTATGAAAAAAAATAAATTGAATTGTCATTTTCACCAAATAAGAGTCCAATAAAAGGGTTTTAACTAAATTTCTCAAATAAAAATATAGCTCAAGTCATATTTTGTTCATCACATCAGTAACCACATATTGGTTGCTTTTTAAAAATCTAGCACATGCCTATTAAGGCCATGTTTGGGAAGTGTGATTTGGCCTAAGATAGTCAATAAAAACAAAATAGGTTAAAATAGTCAATAAAATAAAATGTAAAATTCAAACTATAATCATTTCACTTTTTCTCTCACAATCATCAAATAAAAAAAAAATGAGTCAACTACCATCCCAAACATGATAGTCAGGCTAAAATAATAAAAAAAACCAAAATGCCAACTAAAATAACATACCCAAACGGGCCTAAATCCTATTTTTATCCTGAGAAAACTAGCAATGAATTAGATTTGTACAGAAACGAAGAATCTAATTTGGCTGACACCAAAATTGATGTAGCACAAAAAAATTAAGAATATAGATTGGGGATCACGATCCCAAAACTGTTCTCAACAATTAATAACCAATATTCATTAAGTCTAGTCTTTAAACTATGAAAATGATGAAACCATGTATATAGGCACGATTATGAAATCTAGGCATAGAATACTAGAAAAAAATAAAAATAAATAAGAAATAAGAAATAAATTCCTATTAATTCATAATTTATAATTACATTAAAATTCATTTAAAAATTTTCAAATTATTGTCATCCAATGCCTTTCTCATCCCCATCAAGAGGCCACGCAGGTAACCAAACCAAACCAAACCAAGCCTTAAATTCCATCAAATAGGGTCGGCTACATGAATCCTTCTTCTCCACGTGACCCTATCAAAGGCCATTTCATTAGTCAAATTAAGTAGATTCATATCTCTATTTATAACGCTAGTCAACGTTAATGTAGGCCTACCCCGTCTCCTAACACTTCCATCTACCGTTACAGCATCGCATCTCTTCACTACTGTCTCTGTTGGTCTCCGTTGAATATGACCAAACCATCTCAAATGATTCTCTTTCAACTTATTTTCTATCGGTGCTACTCCTACCCATTTCCGCATACACTCATTCCTAATCCTGTCTTGTCTAGTCTTACCACACATCCACCTTAGCATCATCATCTCAGCCACACTCATCTTATCTACATGTTGTTTCTTGGTTGCCCAACACTCCGTCCTATACAACATAGCTGGTCTAATAGTCGTTCTATGAAGCTTACTTTTTAGTCTAGTGGGTATTCGTTTATTGCACAACACCCCATACGCACTTCTCCACTTACACCATCCCGCCTTAATCCTACGGGCCACATCTGCATCAATCTCTCCCGCTGTTGTGATAATCGACCCTAAATAATGAAAATGTTCACTCTTAGACAGTTCTTGGTTCTCAATCTTCACTTCTCCGCTGCTTTCATTGTTACTGTTACTAAATTTACACTCCATATACTCTGTCTTTGTTCTGCTTATCCGGAATCCTTTAGATTCAAGAGCTTTTCTCCAAATCTCCAATTTTGTTTTAACTCCTTCTCTAGTCTCATCCACTAACACAATATCGTCTGTAAAAAACATACACCATGGCACGTCATCCTGAATATTTATCGTCAACTCGTCCATAACTAAAGCAAAAAGATAAGGACTTAAGGTAGATCCTTGGTGTAACCCTACAGTGATAGGAAATTCATTTGTTTCTCCAGCTAGCGATCTAATAGTGGTCACCACTCCTTCATACATGTCCCTAATCACGTCAATGTAGCCTTTTGTCACCCCTTTCTTCTCTAACGCCCACCATATTATATCTCGGGGCACTCTGTCATATGCTTTCTCAAGGTCGATAAACACCATATGAATGTCTCTTTTCTTGTACCCAACTGGAATAGATTCTCGTGTAAAAGACATTAACCTGTGGCTGCAAGATGGGTCAAACAATATTGGCATAATGGTGATTTATGGGATGGGTGGAATAGGTAAGACAACCATTGCAAAAACTGCTTATAACCAAAACTTTGAAAGATTTGATGGCAGCAGTTTTCTCGCAAATATTAGAGACACTTCAAAACAACCCAGAGGTTTGGTTCGTCTGCAAAAACAACTTGTTTCAGATATTGTCAAGCGGAAAAAGGAAAAACTACACAATGTTGATGAGGGAATCATTAAGATCAAACATGCTATGTGCTGTAAAAGAGTTCTTGTTGTTCTTGATGATGTAGATCAATTGGACCAACTAAATGCAATATTTGGCATGCGAGACTGGTTTCATCCAGGAAGTAAAATTATCATAACAACCAGACATAAGCGAATGCTAAAGGCTTATGAAGCTCGTGAAATATACAAGGTTACAAAATTGAAAGACACTGAAGCGCTTTGTCTCTTCTGTCGACATGCCTTTGATCATCCTTCACCAATACCTTAGAATCCTCACTCTTGATGCACTTTACTTGATTAAAATCTCTTGTTTTCCTCTCCCGTATCTTAGCAAGTTTGTATACCCTCTTCTCTCCCTCCTTACTATCTAGTCTAGTGTATAGGTCATCATAAGCTTTCAACTTAGTCTCTCTCACTACTTTCTTGACCTCCTTATTAGCCAATCTATAGCTCTTAAGGTTTTCTTTAGTTCTATCCTTCTGCCACTTTTTAAAGCACTCTTTTTTTTTTTCCTTAACTACTGCTTGAACCTCTTCCCTCCACCACCAAGTTTTTCTAAAGCTGGGTCCCGTTCCTTTCGACTTTCCAAGCACTTCTCTTGAGATTCTCCTCATACAATTGGCCATCGAATTCCACATAGTGTTAGCATCACCTCCTAAGTCCCAAACACCTTATCCATTCGATACTTAAATATTTCTAGTTTATCTCCTTTTAAGTCCCACCATCTCATCCTACGACGCCCACCATCATTCCTAGCTTGGTATTGCCCTCTAAAACATAAATCTAGTATCAAAATCTTATGTTGAGAGACCAAACTCTCTCTAGGAATCACCTTACAATCATTGCATTTTAGGCAGTCCACTTTTCTCACTAAAAAGTAATCTATTTGGCTCTTAACTAATCCACTCTTAAAGGTTATCAAATGCTCCTCCCTCTTCTTATACATAGCATTGGCCACCACCAGGTTAGAAGCCACCGCAAAATCTAAGATTCTCTCTCCAGCCTCATTTCTGTCACCAAAACCGTATCCACCATGCACCCTTTCATAACCTAGTTTATCTATACCCACATGGCCATTAAAATTTCCACCTATGACCAGGTTCTTTCCTACGTGTATCTCCTGTAAGATCTCATCCATTTGCTCTCAAAAATCCCTCTTAGTCTGATCATCTAATCCTACTTGAGGGGCGTAAGCGCTAATAATGTTCACTATATTCCCTCCAATAACTAGTTTAACTAGCATAATCCTATCTCCTTTCCTAGTGACCGCCACCACAATTTCCACAAGACCCTTGGCAATTATGATTCTTACCCCATTCCTGCGTCTATCTTTACCACTATAATAAAGTTTAAAACCAGTATCCTCAATTTCCCTAGCTTTCTCTCCCGTCCACTTAGTTTCTTGTATGCAAGCTATACTAACTCTCATCCTAATCATAACATCTACTAATTCCATCGTCCTACCAGTTAAGGTTCCTATGTTCCAAGTGGCTACCCTAAACCTATAGTCTTGGACTAGCTTCTTTACTCGCGCTCGTCCAGAAAAATGCGGAAATCTTTGCCCATTTTTCACCTCACCTAGGCGTCGATGCGGCGCCCCTTTCTCACTTTTCGAAACACCCGGAGGTAGGCGCAACGCGTCACTTGAGGGAAACGATCTAGCATTTAAACGATTCAAAGTAGGATTCATTTTCATAAGAGATCCGAGCGACTTTTTTACGTGTTGACTGTCGGCTACCTAACACACAAACCTCCTCCTTAACCCGGGCTTGGGACCAACGGAGTTGTTAACAACCCCGGCGGAGGTAAGAGGCCACACAGGTATAAGATAAAATTCCAGACACAAGGAAAAATGAGAGAATGACATCATTACATTATAATCAGGTGATCGCTTAATACAAACCTCACATGACTTAGGAAATAATGTCAGATGAGGTTTCTTCATGGAACCATACCTAAACGACTTATTATTATTATTTTTTAATACCCAGAATACCTCCAAGGCAAGATCTTTAGGATCCATCCTTACAAGTCAAACTGAGAGAAGTTTGCCGATCCACCTAAACTGTCAGACTTCTACTTGAGTAATAGGGGATTCACAGACCACAATCACCCATATTCTTTTTTTATTTTATTCTACTCTTTCATTCATGACATCTAAACATTTTACTTGGATTATTACAAACTAAGAACTGTCTTTTATACATAACTCTATCGTTCGTAAGTTATTACATTCATCTGTTGGAGAAGTCTCCGAGCAACAGTCGAGAGAGGGTATAAACAAAGATGGCAATGTTCTCTTTTAATTAAGAAAGTATTTTATTGATAACATTTTTTTTTTTTTTACATTCATCTGTTGGAGAAGTCTATCGTTCATAACAAAGATGACAATGTTCTCTTTTAATTAAGAAAGTACTTTATTGATAACATTTTTTTTTCTTTTTTCTTTTTTTCTTTTTTTGGTTTTGGTTTTGGTTTTGGATTGGCAAAAGAAAGATTTTATTGGAGAGAAAATAAGGTTACATAAACCTAGCTGGGGAAAGAGATGCATCATAGCTTGAAAGATGAATCTCAACTAGGTTGGCACTCAAAAGCAAGCAAAATCATGTGCAAGCCCCAACTAAAACTGATAAGAATACTTTAGAATCAGCAATTCAAGTAGTTCCAGTTCAAGCTAAAGCTAATGGCTCAATCCTTGGCTTACCACATATAGCTCAAGCTAAAACTAATGGCTCAGCACATGTTATAACTAGATCTATCGACTACATAACTGTATCACATGGAGGATAGATAAAGGTTGTTAGGATTGGTTAGTTAGTTAGTGTTTGTTAGCTAGTTTTACTATTCTGTATGAATATACAATTGTATTGTTGATAATGGTGTGTTGAATAAAGGCTTCAATCATTCTTCATGGTATTAGAGCCTCTGTAAAGCTCTCACGAGCATATCTTCGATTCACACATGGCTTCATCTTCTTCATCTTCTTCTTCTTCTTTTTCTTCTTCTTCTTCCTCTTTACCTGCAAATCTCAATCTCTTGATCTCCAATTTGAATTCATTCATCACAGTTAAGCTCGATTTAACTAATTTTCTCATATGGCTAAGTCAATTTCATAATGTTTTGCGTGCTATTGAACTCTTGGATTTTGTAAGTGAATTAGTTCCATGTCCACCATTGATGATCAAGGACTCCAATGGCCTTGAAGTTCTAAATCCAGATCAAGTCGATTGGAACAAGATTGACACACATCTACTAAGTTGTATCACTGCTACACTTACTTCTACCATTTTCTCTTTTGTTCTACATCTGCAACACAGCTTTGAGGTATAGGCTACTCTCTGCAAACTTTTTACCACTATCTCGGTCTTATATTCATCAAATAAAGAATAGATTAACTCATCTGACCAAAGAATCCAAGTCCATTGAAGAATATTTGAATCAGATCAAAGAACTTGCAGATCAATTAGCTCTAGCTTCTTCACCTATTGATGAAGAAGATCTGGTATTACTCACCTTGAATGATTTTCCTGATGAGTTCAATGCTCTTAAAACTACTATTCGAGCATGGATTGAACCTATTTCCATAGTGTAAGAGGAGCTAATTTGAGCCCACTAAATTAATTAGGCCCAATAGTCCAAGGTTGGTGGGCCCGAATTTATCCTAAGTCCAAGATTGGTGGTCTCGGATTTATCGTCATCAAACGGACCGAATCGCTCTAAGCTTCGAAAGGGTTCGGATCCATGAACTTAGAAACTTACCCGGGTTTGGACTCGAAAGGGTTTGGATCCACGAACCTAGAGATTCAAACCACTTGACTTCGAACGGATTCAGATGCAATCTAGAAGCCGCTCCATTAATGAGTCCCAGAACACTTGCGGCTCGGAACTTTCCGGGATCTACGTACCAGAACCATGGGCGTAATGGAGTCCGAACAAAGGACCCAATCCCGAGGACGGTGAGTGAAGATAAATTCACTCTTCGGTTAAACTAGCCTATACCCGGGTTGAGGTGGCAGAATCTAGAGGGTCCCTGAGACTTGGCAATATTTGCGGCAGGATGTTCTCTTGAACCACCCCTAACCCTGCTGCGGCAGGACGTCCTCTGGGACTACCCCTAACCCTTTAGGATGATTGATGATTATTGGTTAGGTGTGGCTAAGAAGAAGGGTTCGTCGAGAGGTTGATCTCATCTTTGGGATTTTTCTCATCCTCGAAGGGTCACCTCCTCAGACAAAGTGGTTAGAGAGAATATTTCCCATGTGCCTTGCACACGGGCTCCATCCTACATCATGAGGTGCCTATAAATAGCACCCACCCATAGCTTTACAAGGGATGTATTTTGGAGAGAAAACTATTGGGAAAGAACTAATTTCCCTTCCCCATTATCAACCTTGAGAGTGAAAGTGAGAGAGCTATGGGAGAGCCTTGCCATTATTCTCTCTATAGCTACTTTTTCTTTTTTTTTTTGCCCAATCTCTTATCTCTATCATCTCTTTACTTTTGTGTTCTTAGTTGAGACTATTGAAGAATCTAAGCCTCTCATCATCTTCTAGAGAATTCAAATTTTTCTCCAAGGATCTACGAATTTTCCAATGGCGTTCATGAACCCTCTCATACATTTGGCGACTCCGTTGGGGAGGCGGATTGATTAATGGTCTCAACAAGATTCGGAATCTACATAACTCCGGTGAAGATAGCGGGAGAAGAAGTTCATCAACAAGGCTCTTCCAATGGTGATGATGAGAGGACTCAAGTTGAAGAGCCACCTCTCATCCTTGAGGCCATTCAAGAACTCCAACACACTCAACAAGAGATTCTCACGACCCTTCAAAATCTCACCCATACCATGTTGGTGATGGGTTCAAATTTCGCACCACCGGTAACAAATGGATGTCAAGTCAGTGCCGGCAAGCATCAACAACTTCATGGTGATTTTGGAAATGGTCAAAATCATCAAGACTCACCCCAAATTATCCTTGAAGTTGCTCAAAATGATGTGCAAAATCAACTGCTAAGAGGAACAAGTCATGGCCAACTTGTGGCCCATAGAGCGCAAAATCACGCGCCTGGAGGATCGAACCATGGTCCATCGATGATTGAAGGAGTTCCTAGTGTGATGAATGGTGTTCCAGCTACTGTAGAAGTTCAAGGAAGGCCTACAGAAATTTCTTTACAAAATAGTGCTCCACCCATGCCTAATTTTGTTCCACCGATTGTAAATTTTACCCACGTACCGAGTGGGTCTCCTTTAGCTCCAACGCCGAGTTTGCAAGCTCAACCCGGTATAGTCGTGGCGTGCAATGGACTTTATGGGACCCAATGCAATGTCCCATCACCAAATGGCGTGTCCATAGGTGCCGATGGCCAATATTGTCATGTGTCTTCACCGATGATGAATTCTCAACACCCAAATGGCCAAGTCGCTCCAGGCTCGGTCTTCGGGTCTACAAGTCAAGTTCTAGGAATACCACTATGAAGTTCTCTCCCTCAACAATTTCTCACTCTCGCCGATGTGCAAGCCATGTTCGATCTCGAATGAGGCAAGATGACTTTACCCTCTTTGCCTGATCCAGATGTCAAGTCACCATACCCTATCGAGATGTTGAGTTATCCATACCCAGAGGGGTACACAGTGCCGAAGTTCATCAAATTCGATGGCAAGCAAGAAAATGCTCGAGAGCATGTTGTTCGGTTCATAGAGACTTTGGGAATTCATGGTTCAAACCATGTCCTTCGACTGAGAGAGTTCTCAAAATCCCTCACCGACCAAGCATATAGTTGGTATGTTAACTTGGCCCCAAACTCTATCCAAAGTTCGGAGGAGATGGTCAACAAATTCCACGCCAAATTCTTTCAAGTGGCCGAGAAAGTGACCACACTTACCCTGTGTAAGGAAAAGCAACAAGAGAGTGAAGACATTCTCGAATATGTGAAAAGGTTCCAAGACAAAGTCGTGAACTATCATGAAGTTATGGAGGAAATCTACTTGGTTCCAATCTGTGTTGAAGGGGCATTGAACGGGTACAAGATGCTTCTTGTTAATCACAAGCTACCCACCTTTTCGACACTAATTGAAGCATCTCGGAACATCAACATATCTCAATCTCAGGAGATCGGGTTCGAGACTAGTTATAAAACCAGCTTTAAATCTCGAGGACCTTCTATCACTGCGGCTTTCGCGTCTTCTACCCAAAAGTCGCAGGGGGGAATTCAGAGGTCGGAAGAGAAAAAACTACGAAGATGACACTCTTTTTCCATGTAGTGTTGAGGAGGTGAAGGCCTTAGTTAAAGAATGGGTGGCAAACGGGGAACTGAAGTTGCCTCGTGTCGAAGAGCTTTTGTCGAAGGAGAACCGCAAGGGCCCTAATTATTATGTTTTCCACCGATCACTAAGACATCCTATAGAAAAGTGTCAGACACTTAAAAAGATCTTCAGAAAGAAAGTCGAAGCAGATGAGCTAGAGTTCAAAGAATAGGGTTCTCAGGATATCTTAGAAGACGTGGCTATGATGGAGTATGATGGCCACAACACAAGCAGATGGTGAAAGTTTTTCGAATGACCTTGCAACTCTAGGGGCAAATGTCAACATTCCGTAGAAGAAGGCTATCTATGACATTTACAATTTATATTTACTGCATTGTCCAAAAAGTTCTATCTTTCTTATGTTATGAAGAAATTTATTTTCTCCATATTGTATATCTCCATTAGAAATTCATTTTCTTTATATTGTGTATCTTCATTGTGTTATGTTGCTTGAGATAGTTTTCAATTTGCGTTGCCCCTCGAAGAAGAAAGAGGAATAGTAGACACGATTACTAACCTGAAGGGACCTTTCTTGACGCAGTAGAGTGTGTTCTTCCACTCAAACTTTCAAAGAGTGCCAATGATCTTTCTTGCTGAAGTACAGTGTTTTCTCCCACTCAAACTTTCGAAGAACAACCCTTGAGACTCAGTGGCCTATCAGAAGGGATCTTCCTGCCAAAGTAGGGTGTGTGCTATTATTCAAACTCCTAAGGGACAACCTTGCTTCAGTTTAGACTTCTGAGGGACAACTCTTGCTCTCATTAGTGCGGGTCCGAAGAACAGCCCTTGCTTTCATCAATACGAGCTCCGAGGATCTTTCTTCAAAGTAGAGTGGACTCCTACTCGAACTCCCGAGGGATAGCCTTTGCTTCCATTAGCTGCTGAAGTAGAAGTGTAGATCCACTCGGACTTCCAAGGGACAGCCTTGTTTCTGCTCGGACTTCTGAAGGAGAGCCTTGTTTTCGCTTGAACTTCTAAGGGACATCCTTGCTTCTTCTTGGACTTCCAAGAGACAATCTTTACTTCTGTTGGTGCAAGCTTGATAGACTCAGTTGCCTTCCAGAGAGATCTTTCTTGCCGAAGTAGGGTGTATGCTACTTTCAGACTCCTGAGGGATAGTTTTGCTCTCGTTCAGACTTCCAAAGGACAACCCTTGCTCTCATTAGTGCAGGTTCTGAGGGCCCCGGGGTCGTGGATTTCGCACAAAAATTTATTTTCCTGAAATAGTAAAGCCGGCAAACTAGACAAACAATATCCAGTTCAAATTATGATTCAAACATTACTGAAATAGAGGCGAAATCAACAATAGTAATAATCTACTTAAGCTACAACAATTTCATTCCTCTGAGCGAGTTCATAAAAATGCAACAACCAAGGTTTTGTCTCTCCGGGCCGGTTCCTCTCCAGCCGACGTAAAGCTACAATGGTCACACAAAATTTTGGCATCAGCTATGCATTTCCCAAGCATCCACAAGATCAACAAAATGACAATCAATCATTAGACAACAAGATTTATATACAATATAAGGGCCTCATTTCCTCAGGTTTCATTGACATCAACAACATTTATTTTATTTGTCCCATTCAAGCAAAGCTAACAACAACACTCACATGGATTACATGTTCTTTCTCAACATCAATAACTCATGCAAGCATCAAGTATTCTATTAATATCAGAATAGTCAACACAAGTGCTAAAAAAAAATGAAGCTCAATATTCATCATAGTCCCATCGCGTCTTTTCTCAATGATAAATGCCAACAAACCATATTCAAGTCACGCTCATCTATAGAATTTCATAGCTCAGACATGGATTTGAAATTTGTTTTCTTCAAAGAAGTTATATAAATTAGGGCAGGGTCAACAGAGCATTACCTATCTCAAGAAAAAAATTACAAATTCTCAAGAGTATTAAATCAAGTTGTACAAGGGCCAAAACTTACCCAGATTTTTTGAAACTCGAAATCAAGATAAAAAAAGGTTTTGAAAAGGAATGAAATTAGTTGAGAGGAAGACCAAGGCCCACCAAAAATGAAGGTCCAAAAATGGGTTTCAGGACAAGTCGGTAGCGGCACAAGCAGTGGGCGAGAAGGATGTTGGGCAGGCCAACGTCGCGCTAAGTGGGTGGCGTGGTCAGTCACGGCTGGAAGCAACAGTAAGGTCACAAGTACCGGACACAAAGCACACAGGCCACGCGAGTTGGATGGTCGCGTGCGCAAGGCAAGATCGCGGCTAGTTCTTTTGAAGGCCGACGGCGGCTGGTTCTCTTGAAGGCCGAAGGCGTTGAG